GGTACCCGAAAAAATGATTGTTATTGGTGCTGGTGTTATTGGTTTGGAATTGGGTTCCGTTTGGTCTCGTTTGGGTGCCCAAGTTACCGCTGTTGAATTCATGAACACCATCGGTGGTGTAGGTATTGATGGTGAAGTCTCAAAGACTTTCCAAAAGATCTTGACCAAACAAGGTTTCGAATTCAAATTGGGCACTAAAGTCATGGCTGCCGAACGTAGTGGTAACTCTGTCACCGTTCAAGTAGAAAATGCCAAATCTGGTGAAAAGGAAGAACTCACCTGTGATGTACTTTTGGTATCCGTTGGTCGTCGTCCCTACACCGAAGGCTTGGGTTTGGACAATGTTGGCATTGTTAAGGATGATAGAGGTCGCATTCCCGTCAACGATCACTTCCAAACTGTTGTACCCAATATCTATGCCATTGGTGATTGTATTCAAGGTCCCATGTTGGCTCACAAGGCTGAAGATGAGGGCATTATCTGCGTTGAAGGCATGAATGGTGGTCACGTACACATTGACTACAACTGTGTACCCTCTGTTGTTTACACTCATCCCGAAGTTGCGTGGGTAGGCAAGTCCGAAGAAGCTTTGAAGGAAGAAGGTGTTGAATACAAAGTAGGCAAATTCCCCTTCTTGGCTAACTCTCGTGCCAAGACCAACAATGAAACCGATGGCTTCGTTAAAGTATTGGCTGATAAGGCTACAGATCGTGTGCTGGGCACACACATCATTGGTCCCGTAAGTAGAAAATGTTTGCCTTATAGAGAAATCGAATACATTTGTTTCGTTTATTTACAGTCTGCCGGTGAACTTATCAATGAAGCTGTCTTGGCTATGGAATATGGTGCTGCTGCCGAAGATGTTGCCCGTGTCTGCCATGCCCATCCTGTAAGTTTATTAGACTTTATAATTGTTAAAAATTGACTTATGTTTACCTTACTTTTTTTTTCAGACCTGCGCTGAGGCTTTACGTGAGGCCAACGTAGCTGCCGCCTTTGGTAAACCCATTAACTTTTAATTTCTCTACTCCAACCCTGCCTGATCCTTTAATTTAATACATTTTACTTCTCTTTTCTCACACACTCCCCCCTCAAAAAATGCCTTAAGTTAATACGGAAAACGTACGAAAACTTTTTAAACTTCTTTTTTGTGTAAATTATTTCAAAAACATATGAAACTCATTGTGAAAAAAGAGATAAAAACGATTTAAAAACTTAATTCTTAATAAATATAAATTAAAAACCGCCTAGCGTGAGACCACATGTAAAAGTTTGTTTAAAATTTTGTGAAATTTATTGTAAAGTGAAAAGAATTTGAAGAAATTGAAACTTAAATTTCAAAACTTGAAAGGGAGGTGTTACATTTACTGGTGCAACTTTTAAAGTATACAATAATAAATAAAACATAAATGGAAAAGATAAAAAATATTCAAAAGTTGTAAATTTCTATTTTTTAATGTGTTTAAAGTGTTATTTATTAAACTATTGAGAAAAGTGGTTAGACTTGAAAGCAGTTATAGGTCTGCATTAAAATCTTCTGCCAAATGGTGGTAAAAACAAATAAAAAGAAAAAAGGCCCTGTTGAGTTGTTTACAACTTTATAGAAATCACCACAAGGTTATTTTATATAAAGGAATATTTATTTCGAATAAATCAGATCATTTTTTTTAATTACACTAAATGGTTTTAAACGTTTGTAAAGGCAACGTTTTTATCTTAAGTTGACGTGAATTACGGTTCTATAAATCTAATTTCGACTTTTTTTGACAAAAAGTCAATTCTACTATTTTGTTCCATAAAAAATCTAAGATTTAAAATAATTTGTTCAATAATGTTTTTTAAAGCAAAGTTTTTTAATTTTTAAACCTGGAAGCATCATATTTTTAACATATCCATTGAAAAAGGAGTCAAACAGTTCGAAAATTCTAAAATTTTAAATCAGTAAGTCGAAAAAATCGACTTTTCGTAAACAGAAACTTGAAACCCTATTAAGATATGAATTTAATGTTACCTGTACAATCTGGTAACTCGACCACTTTCCTACTTTATTAAACACTGACTTTGTTTTGATTTTTTCTCTTACACTATTGTTGTTTTTGATTAAATAAATATAGAAAATAGTGTAACTGATCATTTTGTTATTATTAAAATCTTTAAAAAATTATTTTTTTTATTAAATTATGTCAACATTTCTTAATTTAATTAAAATAAATTTCTTCTTTTTAAAAAAATAACGGTTTTTCTTTTATTTACTTAAAGAAAGCGAAAAATTCACCATCTTGTCGTTTATGTAATCTGGTAACTCTCTTGTTACATTCCCCCTTTTTAAACACATGTTTTTTGTTTTGATTTTTTTCTTAAGCAATTGTTATTGTATTTTTACAGCAAGTTGAGTAAATTCCCTTCAAAGTGACGCAAGAATATTAGAAAAAGAAAATTTTTTGAGGGAAAATTTGTTAGAATTTTAATAAATATTTTAAATAAACCTTTTTATTTTGTAATTAAAATTTAAAAGGAGAAGATTTAATTTATAAAAATAAACATGCATAGTTTAAATTTATTAAAAAGATGGCCGCTAAAAAGTGTTGGCAAAGTTAATCAACTAATGCAAACAGCCTCCATATCGGTAAGGACTGTGGAAAAGCCTAAAAATAAAGAGGAAGAGGTGAGTTAATAAAAAAATATTCCTTAAAAAAACGGTTTAAGACAAGATTCTTGTTTCTTTAAGAATTCCCTTTACCCGCGCAAAATCTTCTCCGGCATACAACCTACCGGTCAATTGCATTTGGGCAATTACTTGGGTGCCATACAAAAATGGATAGAGTTGCAAAATAATCAAGAGGATGTTACCTATTGCATAGTAGATATGCATTCTATAACCATAGATCAGGTGAAATCAATTTTAGTTCCAGAAATGGGTGTTAATAACAATGTGGTTTTGAAATTTCTAGAATCCTGCTGTTTTACGTGAAAATATTTTCGAAATGGCTGCCACTATGTATGCCTGTGGTCTTAATCCAGAAGATGGTAATCTTTTTGTGCAATCCTCCGTAAAGGAACATAGTGAATTATGTTGGATATTAAATTGTTTGACTACCATGGCTCGTTTGGGTCATTTGCCACAGTTTAAGGAGAAATCGCGTAAAGTTAAAGATGTTCCTTTGGGTTTATATGTTTATCCAGTATTGCAGGCAGCTGATATTATGTTATACAAGTAAGTGATTGGAAATTTTTAACTATTTATTGGGAAGTAAAGAGAATTTTTGAGAAATTGAAAGAGATTTTGAAAGATTTGAAAATAGGAAGAAGAGAATTATAGAGCTGGACTTAGGACCGTAGTATCTAAAACTAATATAAATTAATATAAAGAAGTTGGAAACGGTGATATAATCATGTATATTATTAGAATTTCTTTCAACATTTTTAAATTTTACTAAAATTTTTAAGAAATTTTATAGAAAACTCTTGCTAGAACTTTAGAAAGTTGCTGGTATGCTTAATTTAGAAAAAAATTAAGTTCGAAAATATTCGAAATTTCAAATTTTTTTCGAAATTGGTTTAAACTTGGAAAATATTTGTTTTTGAGTCATTTTAAACATTTGCTAGAAGTCAGTGTAAAGAATTTAAAAGAAAACTTAAGTTCGAAAATTTTTCGAAATTCCAAAATTTTTTTTGAAAATAGTTTTGACTAATTTGTATTGAAAAATTATCCTTATCGAAATATTGAATATATTTCACAACTTCATAAAATTGTAAACTGTCTTCCTAAAAACCTTAATTTTATACTTTTCTTATCCCTAATCTTCTGCTATTTCCCTACCCTCTTTTATCTCCCTTTCCTCAACCCGTTCACCGCTACAGAGCCACCCATGTGCCAGTGGGTGAAGATCAACTGCAGCACATACAATTGACCCAACATTTAACGCGCATATTCAATACCCGCTATGGACAAACTTTCCCCATTTGCCACGCCATGATTGATAATCAAGAGGCGGCACGTATACGCTCTTTACGCAATCCGGCTAAGAAAATGTCGAAATCTGATCCCGATACTCGAGCCACTATTAGTATACGTGATGAACCTGATGTTATAGTGGAGAAAATTAAAAAAGCTGTTACCGATTTCACTTCCGATGTAACCTATGATCCTGCCAATCGTCCGGGGGTATCAAACTTGGTAGCCATACATTCCTTAGTATCTGGAACACCTATAGAGAAAATTATCGAAGAAGCTAGAACCCTAGATACCGGACGCTATAAATTAAGAGTAGCCGAGGCAGTGGTAGAACATTTGAAACCTATTAAGGCGAAAATAGACAAACGTTTGGCCCGCAAAACAGAATTGATTTATATGTTGGAACAGGGTGCCGAAAAGGCACGTCAACAGGCTCAGGAAACTTTGGAGGATGTTAAGCAAAAAATGGGTTTGGGTATTTACACAAATATACCCCAAAACTTAGACGTTAATACCTTTAGCGACAAGGTGGAGGAAAAGCCGGTGAAAGAAACCAAAGTTGAAACTACAGTAGCCAAATTTGATGAGGAGGGAAAACCCATAGTGCCCAAACAAAAGATACGCTTAGAAAGTAGACGTTCTAATCATACCCAAAGTTTGGCACCAGCCTTTGAAATATCTTTAGGAACGCCATCAAAATTGGACAGTAAAAAGGTTACACAGACACCAGCAGAACAGACGACGCAGCAAAAGGAGGAATTGCCAGAGAAATCTGTAAACTAGCTATTTAAAAAAGAATCTTTAGTTAATTTTATATAAATGTTTGTGTGTTGTTATTTAAAATAAAATGTTTTAAAAAATTTCAAAAAATTGGCTTTTGTTGAAAAAAAAAACAAAATTTTTTGGTTGAATAAAAGGAAAATATTGAAATCATTTTCGAAACTTTAAAAATTATTTCTTATTTTTAGTAGAATTTTTGATGAAATTTTCGTTTATTAGTGAAATTTTTGATAAAATCTATACTATAATCCAAAATCAGTTATAATTCATTTTTTTTCAACTGCCTTTATTATTTAAAACATTCTTCATAAACAATTTACACTTAAACATTGCATTTTACAAATTTAGCAAAATTACAGAAACGTTTTTCGCTATCAAAGTAAAGACCCTGGGGACATTTGTTTACAATGGTCTGATCAAAGTTACACATATAGTAGGTGGCACAATCTTTGGGATCTCTTACATAAGTTCCGGGACGTTTGTTTAAACACAAGCTGTTAATTCTTTTCTGTTGAGTGATCGAGGAGGGGGTGATAGAGAAGTTTGGAAATTTACCTAATAATTGTTGGATTATATTTTTATGGGGTTTATTGTCATTGTATGAGTTTTGACCATTGCTACCACATGGTGTTGTAGTTGGTGGATTGCATGGTGTTGTAGTTGGGGGTTTGGTAGGTGGGTTGCATGGTTTTGTAGTTGGTACTTTAGTTGGTGGATTGCATGGTGTTGTGGTTGGGGCTTTAGTTGGTGGATTGCATGGTGTTGTAGTTGGGGCTTTAGTTGGTGGATTGCATGGTGTTGTAGTTGGGGCTTTAGTTGATGGGTTGCACGGTGTAGTAGTAGTTGTTGGTGCTGCTGCTGGAGGATTACATGGTGGAGTGGTAGTTGTTGGAGCTGCTGGAGGATTACATGGTGTAGTAGTTGTTGGAGCTGCTGGAGGATTACATGGTGGAGTGGTAGTTGTAGGAGCTGCTGGAGGATTACATGGTGGAGTGGTAGTTGTAGGAGCAGCGGGAGGATTACATGGTGGAGTGGTAGTCGTAGGAGCTGCTGGAGGATTACATGGTGGAGTGGTAGTTGTAGGAGCTGCAGGAGGATTACATGGTGGAGTGGTAGTTGTTGGAGCTGCAGGAGGATTACATGGTGGAGTGGTAGTTGTAGGAGCAGCAGGAGGATTACATGGTGTAGTAGTTGTTGTTGGTGCTTCTGGAGTATTACATGGTGGAGTGGTAGTCGTAGGAGCTGCTGGGGGATTACATGGTGTAGTGGTAGTTGTAGGAGCAGCGGGAGGATTACATGGTGGAGTGGTAGTTGTAGGAGCAGCGGGAGGATTACATGGTGGAGTGGTAGTCGTCGGAGCGGCTGGAGGATTACATGGTGGAGTGGTAGTTGTAGGAGCAGCGGGAGGATTACATGGTGTAGTAGTAGTTGTTGGAGCTGCTGGAGGATTACATGGTGGAGTGGTAGTTGTAGGAGCAGCGGGAGAATTACATGGTGTAGTAGTAGTTGTTGGAGCTGCTGGAGGATTACATGGTGGAGTGGTAGTTGTAGGAGCAGCAGGAGGATTACATGGTGTAGTAGTTGTTGTTGGAGCGGCTGGAGGATTACATGGTGGAGTGGTAGTTGTAGGAGCAGCGGGAGGATTACATGGTGTAGTAGTAGTTGTTGGAGCTGCAGGAGGATTACATGGTGGAGTGGTAGTTGTAGGAGCAGCGGGAGGATTACATGGTGTAGTAGTAGTTGTTGGAGCTGCTGGAGGATTACATGGTGGAGTGGTTGTTGTTGGAGCGGCAGTAGGATTACATGGTGTAGTAGTAGTTGTTGGAGCTGCAGGAGGATTACATGGTGGAGTGGTAGTTGTAGGAGCAGCGGGAGGATTACATGGTGTAGTAGTAGTTGTTGGTGAATCTGGAGGATTACATGGTGGAGTTGTAGTTGTAGGAGCAGCGGGAGGATTACATGGTGTAGTAGTAGTTGTTGGTGAATCTGGAGGATTACATGGTGGAGTTGTAGTTGTAGGGGCAGCTGGAGGATTACATGGTGCAGTAGTAGTTGAAGGGGCAGCTGGAGGATTACATGGTGCAGTAGTAGTTGTTGGAGCTGCTGGAGGATTACATGGTGGAGTGGTAGTTGTAGGAGCAGCGGGAGGATTACATGGTGTAGTAGTAGTTGTTGTTGGAGCTTCTGGTGGATTACATGGTGGAGTGGTAGTTGTAGGGGCAGCGGGAGGATTACATGGTGTAGTAGTAGTTGTTGGAGCTGCAGGAGGATTACATGGTGGTGTGGTAGTTGTAGGAGCATCGGGAGGATTACATGGTGTAGTAGTAGTTGTTGGAGCTGCAGGAGGATTACATGGTGGAGTGGTAGTTGTTGGAGCTGCAGGAGGATTACATGGTGGTGTGGTAGTTGTAGGAGCATCGGGAGGATTACATGGTGTAGTAGTAGTTGTTGGTGAATCTGGAGGATTACATGGTGGAGTGGTCGTTGTAGGAGCAGCAGGAGGATTACATGGTGTAGTAGTAGTTGTAGGAGCAGGGGGAGGGTTACATGGTGTAGTAGTAGTTGTTGGAGCTGCAGGAGGATTACATGGTGGAGTAGTAGTGGTAGGAGCTGCGGCAGGATTACATGGTGTAGTAGTAGTAGTTGTTGGAGCTGCAGGATGATTACAAGGTGTAGTCGTAGTAGTTTCACCACAATTCTTAGAACTATTTTCTCTAGATCCTCTAACACCACGACCATTACACTGAACAAATTGCGGGAAATTACACATTTTCATTTTCTCATCATAATAAAAACCACCCAAACAACGTTTACGAAAGGTACGACCCAAATAACACTGATAGTAATGAGCACAAGATTTCGGATCTGTTATAATAGCACCGTTCGGTTGAGAGCTACAATCTGGTCTAGCGCGGCCAACGGCTGCATAAATTGAGGGTATAAGTACCACAGCAAATAAAAAAAGATTTACTGAAAGTTAAAAGCAAAGCAATTAGTGAAATGTTTGTTTGAATTCCTTTTCTGACAACAATATTTACAGTTTCTCATGTTTTCTTCTAGAGAATGCCAGGAAAAACTTCAACTTTTCTAGGTTTGATAGTTAACAAATCAAATCTGTTCGTTTGTGGGCAGTGATAGCATCTTTTATAGTGAACTTTTCTTTTGGAAAATTATTAATTAGATAAAAATAATTAATTTAATGGGGTTTTGTAATAGTTCTTTAATTTTTTTTTTTTATATAGTTTATAGAAAATAGGTTCTATAGGAAATAACTAACTATAAAATAAATAACATTGTTTTAAAATATCTTATCAAAATTGCTGTAATGTCGGTTAACTACCAGTAGCATGCCGTTACAGACAAGGACTTGTAAAACATAATAATATAATAATTTGTCTTTTGATTGATTAGATAAGGGCTAGTTAGAGGAAAAAGTTGTTGCTAAATGCTAGCGAATTGCTTTTTAATAAAACTCTTTATTAAGTTATGAAGCTTTTCGCTTAATTTACGTGTTTTCTAATTTTTATCTTGATATTCCAAATTTAAATCCTTAACACATGTAGCCTTATGGCGCCACTTACAGCGGGCGCTCTCCACATCAAAATGCTGATAAAAAGGACAACTCTGCAATATAGCTTGACCTTTGACACAAAATATAAATGAATCGCATCTCTGGGTATGGGGAAATATATGCTCGCCATATAAAGGACACTTAACGCTATTGCCCCATATAGGTTCCTCTAAAGAAGTTAAAACCTCATCTTCCTCGTCATAATCTTGCTCTTTTTTGGCTATAACGCATTCAGCATTAGACGGTAAATCACATTTACCCAATTTAGAATTCCAATTAAGTCTAGGACTACAGGATTGTAGTAAAGCTTTACCATGATAACACATATAATACTGTTGGCAATTGCCTGGATGAGGCAGGAATACTAAGGTATATTTCTTACTCTGCATAGCATACAAATTATAACAATATTGATCAGCTTTTGGAGGTCTCACGGTGGTGGTGGTGGTGGTGGTGATCTTGCTAGGGGCTTTGGTGGTGAAGTTAGCAATAGGTAACGTCTCCTCCTCAGCTAAAGCTACTTCCTCACATTCCACATTTTCCGCATTATCACATAGTTTAGTTTGATCATTAAACAGCATATTTGGTGGACAAGAGGCCACTACACCTTCACCATTTTTACCGCATAAAAAGAAAAGTTTGCAGTCATTGGGATTGGCCACAAACTCTCCCCATTCATGGCCCAAGCAAAAGTCTGTCAAACGAGGTTTAGCCACATATTTAAAGGCGCTTAGAAAAGGCACAGCCAGCAATAAAATTGAAAGTCCTAAACAAAAATTAAACAATAATAAAACAAGTTCTTTAACAATCTTTTACTTAAACTCACTTTTGAACATGGTTTCAGAACTCCTTATCACTTCTTATATGCTCTTTTATCTCTGGTGCCGCCTGCTTACTTCCACTTTTGAAAATATTCTTAACTTATTTCAATTATTTTACCAAAAAGAATTGCTCCCAAAAAATTAGAATAACGATCACTTGTTACTTATCTTTAACTGTTTGAAATTCTTGTAAAGATCTCTATTTTTATGTTCAATATTTTGGTGAATAAAACGAAAGTATGTGTTTTTTTTTTCTTCTTCTGTTAGACAATTTTATCAATATTTGCAGTTCATTAGCTAGATAAACTTTTTGACGAAAGTTGTTACAAAAAAAAAATTTGATTTTTAAATAAATAACAATTATTTGTAATAACTTTGCAAAGTTAGTAAACAGAAGAAATGCTAAATATTTAAAATTTCTTAATAAAGATTTAACAAAAAATCAATTTTACACAGAGAAAACATTATGAAGATTTATTTGAAACAGAGCATTTTAATAAAAACTCGAATTGTGGTGAAATTTGTATTTTGTACTGAAATCCTTTTACTTTAACTTAGAGGTGAAAAACTGGTTTTGTTTTGAAAGCTTTTGTGGTAAAATTAAAATTTTGGGGTGAAATGCTGATTTAGTGGTGTAGAACTCACTTAGTGGTGAAAATTTTAATTAGTGGTGAAAATCTAATAAGATTTTGTGGTAAAAAATTATTTTAGTGGTGAAAATCTGATTGTATTGAAAATTACAAGACTTGACATAGACTATAGGTTACACTATAGACTAGACTATAGACTAGACTATAGACTAGACTATAGACTAGACTATAGACTAGACTATAGACTAGAGTATAGACTAGACTATAGACTACACTATAGGCTAGACTATAGACTAGACTATAGACTAGACTATAGACTAGACTATACTGTACACTAGACTAGACTATAGACTAGACCATAGGCTAGACTATAGACTAGGCTATAGACTAGACTATAGACTAGACTATAGACTAGATTTTAGACTAGACTATAGACTAGACTATAGACTAGACTATAGACTAGACTATAGACTAGACTATAGACTAGACTATAGACTAGACTATAGACTAGACTATAGACTAGACTATAGACTAGACTAGACTATAGACTAGACTATAGACTAGACTATAGATTAGACTATAGATTAGACTATAGACTAGACTATAGACTATCGAATAGACTAGACTATAGATAGACTATAGACTAGACTACTAGACTAGACTATAGACTAGACTATAGGACTAGACTTAGACTAGACTATAGACTAGACGTAAGACTAGACTATAGACTAGACTATAGACTAGACTATAGACTAGACTATAGACTAGACTATAGACTAGACTATAGACTAGACTATAGACTAGACTATAGACAGACATAGACTACTATAGACTAGCTATAGACTAGACTATAGACTAGACTACTAGACATAGACTAGACTACTAGACTAGACTATGACTAGACTATAGACTAGACTATAGATTCTAGACTATAGACTAGACTATAGACTAGACTATAGACTAGACTTAGACTACTATAGACTAGACTATAGACTAGACATAGAAGACTATAGACTAGACTATAGACTAGACTATAGACTAGACTATAGACTAGACTATAGACTAGATATGACTAGACTATAGATTAGACTATAGACTAGACTATAGACTAGACTATAGACTAGACTATAGACTAGACTATAGACTAGACTATAGACTAGACTATAGACTAGACTATAGACTAGACTAGACTATAGACTAGACTAGACTATAGACTAGACTATAGACTAGACTATAGACTAGACTATAGACTAGACTATAGACTGGACTATAGACTAGACTATAGACTAGACTAGACTATAGACTAGACTATAGACTAGACTATAGACTAGACTATAGACTAGACTATAGACTAGACTATAGACTAGACTATAGACTAGACTATAGACTAGACTATAGACTAGACTATAGACTAGACTATAGACTAGACTATAGACTAGACTATAGACTAGACTATAGACTAGACTATAGACTAGACTATAGACTAGACTATAGACTAGACTATAGACTAGACTATAGACTAGACTATAGACTAGACTATAGACTAGACTATAGACTGGACTATAGACTAGACTATAGACTAGACTATAGACTAGACTATACTAGACTATAGACTAACTATAGACTTAGACTATAGACTGACTATGAGACTAGACTATAGACTAGACTATAGACTAGACTATAGACTAGACTATAGACTAGATCATCGACTAGAATATAGACTAGACTATAGACTAGACTATAGACTTAGGACTATAGACTAGAATAGACTAGACTATAGACTATAACTATAGACTAGACTCATAGACTAGACATATAGGACTAGACATAGATAGACTATAGACTAGACTTATAGATGGACTATAGACTAGGGACTATAGACTAGACTATAGACTAGACTATAGACTGACTATAGACTAGACTATAGAACTAGACTATAGACTAGACTATAGACTAGACTATAGACTAGACTATAGACTAGACCTATAGGACTAGACTATAGATAGACTAAGAATAGACTATAGCTAGACTATAACTTAGACTAAGACTAGACTATGACTAGCCTATAGATAGATATAGGACATGACTATAGACTAGCCCATAGGCTCGCTTATAGACTTGATATAGACTAGACCATCGGCTAGACTATAGACTAGCTATAGACTAGAGTCTATAGACTATACTATAGACCTAGACATAGACTAGACTATAGACTAGACTATAGACTATAGACTAGACTATAGACTAGACTATAGACTAGATTATAGACTAGACTATAGACTAGACTATAGACTAGACTATAGACTAGACTAGACTATAGACTAGACTAGACTAGACTAGACTAGACTATAGACTAGACTATAGACTAGACTATAGACTAGACTATAGACTGAAAGACTAGACTAGACTATATAGAGACTATAGACTAGAGACTAGACTAAGACTAACATAGACTAGACTATAGACTAGACTATAGACTAGACTATAGACTAGACTATAGACTAGACTATAGACTAGACTATAGACTAGACTATAGACTAGACTATAGACTAGACTATAGACTAGACTATAGACTAGACTATAGACTAGACTATAGACTAGACTATAGACTAGACTATAGACTAGACTATAGACTAGACTATAGACTAGACTATAGACTAGACTATAGAAGACTAGACTATAGACTAGACTATAGACTAGACTATAGACTAGACTATAGACTAGACTATAGACTAGACTATAGACTAGACTATAGACTAGACTATAGACTAGACTATAGACTAGACTATAGACTAGACTATAGACTAGACTATAGACTAGACTATAGACTAGACTATAGACTAGACTAACTAGAGACTAGACTATAGACTAGACTAGACTAGACTATAGACTAGACTATAGACTAGACTATAGACTAGACTATAGACTAGACTATAGACTAGACTATAGACTAGACTATAGACTAGACTATAGACTAGACTATAGACTAGACTATATATAAACTATAGACTAGACTATAGATAAACTATAGACTGGTCTATAGATTGCACTATTAAAGTATAGACCAATCTGCTGTCTAACATTGGAACACTGTATATTCCTTCTTTAATTTTTAAAGTTTGGCAACCCTACTCTTACTAAGCAAACTTTAAATTATTTTGCCTTTAGTAAAGAGATCCCCATTCATAAGAGAATAGATAAAATCTCTTACTAAAATGAATTGCACTTTTCCACACACTTACATACATACATACATAAATTTTAGTAGTCCACTAATAACAAGCATTCTGTTGTTGTTGCATTTTATCCAATTGCCAGCAACAAACAGACACGGGTTTTTTTTACTTTATTTAAGAGTGTCGGCATTTAGTTTGCGTTGTTAATTCAAAGCGATAGCATTTCGTTGAAGTGACGGTCGGTGTTGTTAGTGAAAAAGAAAAAAACAACAAAACAATCAAGAAGTGTTAACGATTTTGTTTTTTGGCCAGTAATCAGTGTATTAGAGAGTGATTTTTATTTTCGGAGATTTTTTTACGGTTTTTTTCGTAGACGTCGGGGTAAAACGAAAGAAAACGGGTTAAATAACAAAAAAATAAAAATTAAATAAGCAATAAACTTTTACACAAAAGTTTAAGCCAATAACAACAACAACAAAAGTGTTACCAACGTTACATTAACATAAGCAGCAAAAAATAAAAACGAATGAAAAGTTAAAACAAACTAACGAAAAAAAGCAGAGATTTAAAGAAAACTTAAATTAAACTAAATTTTATTAAACAATAATAAAGAAATTTAAGAAAAATTATTAAATAAATTAAAATTTTGTAAAAAAGTTAAGAAAATCTTTTGCTTTATTAAAAAAAAAAACAACAAAATTTTGTTTTATTTTTAAAAAGTGCGTGTGTGTGTTTGCCCATGTTAGTGACTACCTGTTCCCTCCATTAAATAACAAAAGCATTATTATTGTAAATAACAACAAGAAAAAAACACAAGCAACAACAACAAACAACATAAATTATATATAATTTCTGTTTTTGATTCTGTTTTATTATTTGTATTTATACTTGTCATTTCGTTGTGCAAGCCGAAACTAACAAACAAAACAAAATTAAAAAGCAACAATAATAACTACAACAACAACAATCAAAGACAACAAAATCCATCAAAAAGTAATAAAACAACAAGTTTTTTCTGCTTCTTTCTACTACTTCTCCCAAAAAAAAAAAAAAAACAACAACAAGATAAATAGTAACGCTCTAATACAGAGTGATTGGACTCTCAAACTAATACTTCATAAATTGTTTTTGTAATTTTCATTATTTACGTGTGTGTGTGTCAGTCATTCTGTCTGTTTCAGAGTTTGTTTAGCTGCTAATAATAATAATGATCATTTTCTCATTTTCAACATCATCATCATTATAAAAAAGTTAGATTATAATAAAAATATAACAAAAAAAGTTCTTGTTAATCATCAAATAACTTGCACTTGCACCTGTTTTAATAAGAAAAATTAAAAAAGAAAAAAAAAAAAAACAGATAAAGAATTTAAAAGAAAAACAAATAGTGAGAAAAATATAATACATAAAGATAAAACACCAAAAATTATTTTTCAACATTAAAAGTACCAGAATTTGGGATTTATTCTCTTAAGCAGATGAAAAAAGAAAACAAACTCCTCATCACAGCATTGTTTGATAATTAGTGTTGCCAACTTTTAAAGCAGATCAGACAATTGGAAAGATCATAAAAGGTAAGAAAAGAAAAGAGTTTTTAATATGTTTTAATAAAAATTTAAGTAATTTCATAGTTTAAGAATAAAACTGAGGAACCTATTAAGGCTTTTGCTGTAAAAATCTATTAAATTTATTAAGAAAGCTGGAACATCTGCAAAAGTTTTCAATCACACCATTCTCGAATTAAAAAGTTCCGGAGGTAAATCCCCTCTAGGTCGTATTCATAAGAGCCATCATAACCACTGCATCATTAATCGAAAAGGACCAATGAATGTCTCCTTCTTACAGCGAACCGCTGCAATCAAATTCCAAGATGAGACCGCACAATATTTCTCTAGACCTTAGGCAAAGACCACAGATAGTTTCTGTCTAGATTATGCTCATAAGAGTCCTTAATATACCGAATAATTAATCGGAGAGATAGAATTAACATCTTCTTCTCATTATGACATTTTACAGGGGATCAACGCAATTAGATTTTAAGCTAAAACCGCGGAATATTTGTATAGACCAGCAGATTTAAGAAAGCTGTGAACAGTTTCTACTGTAGATCACTAAAAGTTCTTCGAATTAAGACATTTCTTATCATGTCGTCCATCGCTGGTAAATAGAGCCACTAGGACCAAGAGTGTCGCAAAACATCTTGTCCTCTTTATGAAAGCGTACAGGGCATCAACGGCAAGTTTTCAGCTTGCCGGAGAATTTACCAGGACCTAAAACAACTTAATTTCCCTATTTGCCAAAGTATTTGCAATGTTATTGCTAGATTAAGCCGGATAATTCTAGTTTTGGTCTAATTTATTCTTAAAATCTTTGTTCAATCTTTAGTTATTCTGGTCTTCATCTATGATTCAGATCTAATTATACGATCAGACAAAGTACAAAAAGTGATGTTATAACAGATCTCATCTTACGTTCGTTGTCTTAAGTTCTGTGGTTGATTAATCCTTAATCGCTAACTTAGAAACTTCATCCCGGTACACTCTTCAAACTTAACTTTTTAGGGACTTTATCGCTAGAATTTCGAGTGTGTTTCAAAACCTCATGTCTGTTTTCCTATAGCTCATGGTTTTGGTCTATTTAATACTTAAAAGTAAATCTATAATCGGCAAGTTTGTAAAGTATCTGAGATCATTGCCTTTACAAATAGGAACTCTTTTCAATCTTGAGTTATTCTGGTATTTATCTTAGATTCAGATCTATTTATACGATCAGTCAAAGTACCAAATATGATGTTATAACAGATCTGATCTTACGTTCGTTGTCTTAAGTAATGCTTTCGAATTACTGGCCATCATTCAATGACTTGAGATCGAGTTTCAAAAATAAAGATTGGAGTTTATTAGTAGTATTTAATTTACCACGCGTTTTATGCTCACAAAAACTTTGTTTTGTCAAAAATAACTTTAAACTTTTCTCTAACCATGACTAATCACCTCTATCGTTTCACATGTGAAACTTAACACCCTTGTTTACCTGCAAAAACATGCCACTTAATTACATTCCTTCAATATAAGATAATATACTGCGTATTTTTTCCGCCCAAAAAATATACACTTGATAATAAAACAACTTTTAATTAAAAATCTTCAGTTGATCTTAAAACATCAATGTCTTAAGAACAAAATCGTTGAAAAAAATGTTTCGTATAGTTTTATACTCGTTGCTTTCAACTCAATTCTTGAGTTGCTTAATTCAGGCAGCCACTTTTCCTGAATGTGCAAGTGAAACTGCGGGGAATTTTATAGCTGTTGCTAGTAATTGTTCCAAGGCTATATATTGTGATGGTGAGGATTCAAGTATAGTGGAGTGTGATTTCAGTAGACCTTACTTTTCAAGCACTGATCAAAATTGCTACACTGAGTCGAGCATATGTGGTGATAGGCCATTTGAAGGGGGAAATGATGCTACTCCGGCTACTCCAGCGATGCCCTCAATTGCCACAACCGGAGCTTCTACGTTAACTACCATTTTAACACCACCCACAATAGTTACCGTAACCTCTACTCCCTCTACAACATCGTCCCCAACATCTACTCTAGCTACCACAGTTGTAACAACACCAACTACAATTGTTATCCCTACCACCTGGCCTCCTATAGTTACCACTTCCAGCACTGGAATCACCTCAACAGCTACCGATCCTTCTATCTCCTTAACTTGTCCGCCTGTAGATGATCCCAGTAGACCGATATTTCTACCACATCCCAAATCTTGTTCACAATATTATTTGTGTTATCATGGTGTAGCCACGATCATGCAATGTCCCAATATGTTACATTTCGATGTAACCCAACAGAGTTGTAATACAGCGGAAAAAGTTAATTGTCAGGTAAAATCCAGTGAAATAAAGATCCATATTCTTAATCTAACATTCTCTTGCATTTAAGATAAGCGCCGTTATACCACGCGATCAGTGTTTGCCTCAAACTGTCGATGTTTATCCTCATGCTACCAATTGCAATTATTATTATTTGTGTAAATATGGCTATTTGATGGTTATGCAGTGTCCCTTTAATATGGGCTGGGATTATGAGAAGAGAGCCTGTGTCGTGAAGTCGAAAGCTAAATGTTATAATGAGGCTTTAGTAATTTAAATTTTAAAATCATTTTTCTTTGGTTGTTAATAAATATTAAGACGTTGTGTCTTTTGTGGACTTTAGTGAGACCATTGGCGATTTTAATTTAATAGAATCGGACATGGATTGTTGATGTTTTTCTTGTATTCGGTCCTTTTAGTTTAGTTCAGTTTAGGATGAAGAATCCAATTTGATTTATGATCACCCGGCAGCTTTCAATGAAAAATCAGGACGTTTAACAGTAGAACTCTACCGGAAGATGGGCTATCGGTCTGAATCTGGTAATCATACCTCGAAAAATTTGGCAATGAGATAACCTTGCCAAAAAACAATGACCTCATATTCTAATAATCTTAGCTTTAGGATATTATTGATTCAGTTTAGGAAAATGAGTCTATTTATCTAAGTCTGGAAATCACACCGCGAAAACTTCGGCAAAGAGGGAACATAACTGCCTTAGATCTTTGGAAAACCAAGATTTTAACACCCCTCTTAATGAAAAGCCAAGACATTTAACAATAGAACTCTACCGGAAGCAGGGTTAGGTCCTTGAAGAGTCAAGACATTTAAATTTAGATTCTCAGTGTTATCAAGCTGAATATAATTAAATCGTAGATACTTTAGCAAGAGTTAGATTTAGTAGTCTAAGGTTCTTAATAGACTAGTTGTAAGACCGAATTTAACTATGGCGATCTAGACCAATATTCCGCGTCCAAACTTGAAATTTGATTGAGGAGATGCGCTGTAAGTTGTCATAATGAGAAGAAGGTATTAGTTCACCCTTTTTGTCATTCGTTGGTCCTAGTTGATAAATTATTCAAGATCTTTTGAGACGACCGTTTAGAGTTTTAAATGGAAAACCCTTAGTAATCAATGACAAATTTTGAAGCTGATAGAAGGCAACTGAGAAGATTGATAATCTTCTTCCTCTTCATACCAATTGAGGTTCTAAATGTTGTATCTCTCCTCCTAGTTTTCAATTAGAAATAGATTTACTTCTCCCAGGAAAATCTGCTGAAGTCCTAACCTAACCTCTCTAACAAACAATGTTAGGTTTCCGAAATTTAATTCAGTCTTTAAATGACTCAATTTAGGAACTGCGTGGCAAGAAGGTATGGTTTTCTTTAAGCCAGTTGGTTGGTATTCCAAAATCGAGAGATTTATGTATCACAAAAAAGCCTCTCAAAAGAGACTAAATGGTTTTCTGTAATCATCGGTCCGTTTTTACTTAATCGTATATAAAGATTGGAGGTTTTGAAATAAGTAATAAGTTTTTTTTCTTTAACTTCACATTTATTTCTTACAAAAACTAAAATGTATTCTTACGAAATACTAACTTCAAATCCTTAATACAAAGAGCAACCTTACGCCATTTGCAACGACTGCTCTCCACATCGAAGTACTGATAAAAGGGACATTGCTGTAAAATAGCATGACCCTTAACGCAATATATAAAGAAATCACAACGTTGCATATGTGGAAATATATGTTGACCATACACAGGACATACAATGCCATTAGCATTGCCTATGGAAGGGGATTCTGTAGGTGCCACGGGTACAGGCATATTACCATCTTCTTTATGACACTTAGCATTGCTAGGTAAATCACATTTGCCAATACGGGAATTCCATTGTAAATCGGTGCTGCATTCCTGCAACAAAGCCTGGCCATAGTAACACATATAATATTGATGACAACTGGAGGGATGAGCCACAAAAATCAAAGCATCTGCACTTGGCTGTTGGGTATAAAGATTTAAACAATAATCCACTACAGATGCTATAGGTGATACAGTGGTAGTGACTTGAGTTGTTGCAGGAGGAGGAGCCAAGGTGGTGGTTGCTTCACATCTAACATTGGTTTGGATATCGCAAATTTTACTGACCGGATTGAAAAGCATATTCGGGGGACAACTGGCTGGCACCGCTTCACCGTTTAAACCGCATAAATAAAACTTTTTGCAATCCAAAGGATTTGCTACAAACTCTCCCATGGCATGATTTAAACAAACATTATTTTGACCCTCACTCGCCGTTATGGCTAATAATAGTATTAGCAAAGCTAGAAAACAAAGCGTAAACAAAATTATTTAATTAATTATTGAAACTACTAATTCCATAACATTTACCTTTACTAAAGTATTCTTTTAAAACATCCATTTACTAAAAATTTTTCAAAAATTGCTTCCTAAATGTTTCACTACGTCTCAACTACTGCTCATTAGCATTTAATTTTCCATTTAAAAAGCTTGTTTATGCTATCATCAGCGCCTACCAATTTTCGTTTGTTTTATCTTAAAAAAAAAAACAAAATTTTAAGATAAAACTCTTATTTGTCTTATTGCTTTTTTACATAATTATCTTCATATATTCGTACGTTCATTAACACGATCAACTGTATTAAAATATCTTAATTACTTTTTGTTTTGCAAATTATTGTTTATAAGATTCTGCTAGGAATTTCTATAACCATGACCTCATTTTGATAATTTGAATGGGAAATAGCGGGAATTAATGAACCTAAGACTCTAGTATAGTCTGATGTAGTCTCTACCGACTGATCAGTCATTAGTAGAGCGACTAGATGAGTTCTGGTGTTGAGACAAGATCGCTCTCTAATATAGAGACTTGATCAGAGTATAATAGAGACTGGATTTCTCTCTAGTACAGAGACTAGATCATTCTATAGTATAGAGATTAAATCAATCCATAGTATAGAGAAGGGATCAGTCTGTAGTATAGAGACTACATCAGTCTCTAGTAAGGAGGCTAGACCAGTATCTAGTATAGATACCAGATCTCTGGTATAGAGACTAGATCTAGTAGTAGATAAACTACATAATTTTCTCTACTATAGTCTCTACAATAGATACTAGATCAGTCTAATTTCTGGTTCGGAGTCTGGTCTAGCCTCTAGTACAGAGGCTGGTTAAGTCTCTAGTTTGGAGTTTATTTAGTGTGTAGAACATAATCTGAACTAATAACTAGTTAAGAGTACAATCTCTAGTACAGAGTATAGTCCATTCTATGCAATATAGACTAGTCTAATTTCCAATACGAACTTCCTCACATTAAGATTCATTCTAAAATAAAATCACTCTTGTTTTGTTTGACAAATTATATAAAATATACTTTATTTTATCTAAAATCTATTAGAAGATCTATAACATTTAGCCTGAGATCTAAGGACACAAGTTCTCTTCTCATAATGCCAACCCATATTCAGAGGACATTGCATTACTTTCAGATAACCCAATAAACATTGGTAATAATAATTACAGTTGATCGGATGAGGATAATAATCGATGGTATGTGATAAACACTGTTCTCTAGGGGATACAACATCCATCATCTAAATTAAAGATGATTATTAAAAAAACTTTTAAAAAATTCAAGGTTGCAACTTACTTGACATTTAACCTTTTCCGGATAATCACATTTCTGTTGGCGGGCATCGAAATGCAACATATTGGAACAATGCATGGGCAAACGTTCACCATGATAGCATAAAAAGTATTCTGTGCAGGATTTGGGATGTGGTAGAAATATGGCTTTATTGGGATTGTCAACAGCTGGGCAGGAGGAAGGCAATATAGGAGTTATAAAGGTGGGAGTGGTAATGATTTGAGCTGCTGTAGAAGCTAAGGATGTAGTAGAGGTTGGAACAATAACTGAGGTTGATGATGTAGTAGTAGTAGTTGAACTAGCAGTAGTTGTTGAAGCTTCAACTGAAACACTTGAGGTTGGTTGCGTTGGAGCATCTGTGGTATCCTCTGTTAACTCACCACCTTCTCCCGACTCGAATTCCCCATTAGGAAATGGTCTATCGCCACAAACATTTCTATCCGTATCACATGTTTGTTCCTCAATCGAAAAGTAAGGACTGTCTTCGGGACATGAATCTCGAAAAGAATCTTCTCCATGACAAAACATATAATACGAACAATCCTCTTGTACAGCTATATAAGATTGTTCTTCTCCATCGCATTCCTCAAAATAATCACCATTAACTGTAGTCCATAAACCAACTATAAGTAATATTAAACCGTAATATTTGTGTGACATTCTGAAAGCTAAAAAGAAGTTCTGCAATTGTTAAAAGTTCCTAACTAACTGAAAATTTGAAAGACGTCAACAGAATCTTATTAAATACCTTATATGTTTCTTTGTTCTTCTGCTTCTTCTTTTTTCTTATTTATTCTTATCAGAAAGGAAATATTAATTTATTCATACAAGATCTATGGTGTAGTTCTTCTTTTAGGGTAATTTACCTATTTGACTTGTTATCTTCTTTTTTTTCTGGGTGTTTCATACAAAAGTTAAATTTTATTGGTACAATATTTTTCTTTTTTTTCGATTGTTAATTATCGATATTTCAGTCAATGGGATCATCATATCAAGAACCTTAAACAAATGAATCATAATTTGACCCTGAAATTCAAAATTTATATGCATTTCATGCAGGAAATAGAGGTGTGTTATAGTAAAAGTTTGTTATTGCCGAATGATCGACTAGATTTGACACTACACACCTCTATATAAAAGACTAGATCAGACTCTAGAATATAAACTAGATCAGTCTCTACTACTGAGATTGATCTCAGCCTCTACTATAGAGACTAGATCAGTCTCTACTATAGAGACTAGATCAGTCTCTACTATAGAGACTAGATCAGTCTCCACTATAGAGACTTGATCAGTCTCCACTATAGAGACTAGGTCAGTCTCTACTTTAGAGTCTAGATCTATAGAAAAGACTAGATCAGACTCTAGAATATAAACTAGATCAGTGTCTAGTACTGAAACTGATCTCAGCCTTTACTATAGAGACTAGATCAGTCTCTAATATAGAGACTTGATCAGTCTCTACTATAGAGACTAGATCAGTCTCTACTATAGAGACTAGATCAGTCTCCACTATAGAGACTAGATCAGTCTCCACTATAGAGACTAGATCAGTCTCTACTTTAGAGACTAGATCAGTCTCTACTTTAGAGACTAGATCAGTTTCTACTATAGAGACTATATCAGTCTACACTATAGAGACCAGATCAGCCTCTACTATAGAGACCAGATCAGTCTCTACTACATATAGAGACTAGATCAGTCTCTACTATAGAGACCAGATCAGTCTCTACTATAAAGACCAGATCAGTCTCTACTATAGAGTCCAGATCAGTCTCTACTATAGAGACCAGATCAGTCTCTACTATAGAGACTAGTTCAGTCTCTACTATATAGACTAGATCAGTCTCTACTATAGGGACTAGATCAGTCTCTAAGAAAGATACTATATTAGTCTCTAGGACAGAGACTAGACTAGTCTCTAGTATAGAGACCAGATCAGTCTCTACTATAGAGACTATATCAATCTCTACTATAGAGACTAGATCAATCTCTACTATAGAGACTAGATCAATCTCTACTATAGAGACTAGATCAGTCTCTACTATAGAGACTAGATCAGTCTCTACTATAGAGACTAGATCAGTCTCTACTATAGAGACTAGATCAGTATCTACTATAGAGGCTCTACTTTAGAGACTAGATTAGATTCTATGACAGAGACTAGATTAGTCTCTAAGAGAGAGACTATGTTAGTCTCTAGGACAGAATATCTAGTATATAGATTAGACCCTAATCAGTCTTTAGTCTTTAGGTCAGTATAGATACTATAGATTACTTTAAACTCTAGTATCAAAACTATTTCTGTCTCCAGTATAGAGGCCGCAAAAAATAGAGAGACTTCACTAGTCTCTAGTAGAGACTAAAGTCTACTACTAAGACTTTTCTGGCTTCTTTTATAGAGACTTCTCTAGTCTAGAATATTTCTCTAGTATAGAGTCGTCACTGTCTTTATTATGGAGAATTATCTAGTCTTTAGTATGGAAACTTCTTTAGTATAGAGATTTCTCTAGACTTTAGCATAGCGATTACTCTAGAGACTAGAGAAAATTCTCTAGTTTATAGTATAGTGATATCTTTAGCCTCTTGTATACCGATTATTTACTCTAGTCTATTCAATAGTTTTTAGTATGGAAAATTCTCTAGTCTCTAGTATGGAGAATTCTCTAGTCTCTAGTATGTAGACTTCTCTAGTCTCTAGTATGGAGACCTCTCTAGTGTATAGACCTCTCCCTCTTTCGAATATAGAGACTACTCTAATCTTGTGTGTGTAGATTACTCTAAAGTCTAGTAAACTCTATTACAACTCTGACCTTTTCTTCACTTTTAAATCACCAAATAAATATTAATGTTACAATTTACCTTGACTTAAATTTTCAGTTAATTATTACAACACACACACATACAATTATTATTGAAAAAGATTGTCTTTTTGCACACATTTGCACAAAAGTTTTAGGTACCAAAGACAAACCAAATAATTGTCACAGAACATGACAAATGGCCAACATAAAAACTAGTGCGAAATGAACACACCACATGTAAGACAAGCCAGCAAACACAAGGGGGAAAATTATGTTTGAAAAAGATTAAGCACGTTTGACATTTATCAAATGTTTGTGGTAATTTTTCTCTCTTTAAAGGGAATTTGTAATAAGATCTTTAGTGTGGCTAAGATGCATACTAAAAAGGGAATTTCATAAAATCTATTTTAAAATATTTCTGATAATTTTTTATAAATCAGGAAATGTTTTTATACATTTCCTATACCAGAGATCGAATTTCTTAATGCCTATAAGGGTTTTATTAATACAAATCTAATAAACACACGTTTTTTTTATAAAATTTTTCTTTTACCATTATCTACGTGTTTTTTTTTTATAGAAATAAACAATTGTGGTCACATGTTGTATTTAATTTAAATACGGTATTATAAACTATTGTTAAAATTACACACATATTTCTATTAACAGCTGATGTTTCATTGAAATGATTAATTGTTTTCACTATTCATTAAGTGTCATTAATAAATCTCCAGCATTTAATTTAATCTCAAGACAATTGTCATGACTTTCAACATAATTGTTTAAATATTTTTATTTTTTTTTACTTATAATTTTAAACAATTTGATTTTATTGACCTTCTTTAAAATTGACTTCCTTTATTTTTATAACAGAAGTTTGTTTTTAATGAAAGTTAGTTTTTTTTTTTTTTGGTTAACATCTTTGGTTGCAGTTCCTCTGCCTTAGACCAACCAACATTATTTTCAATAAAACCCACCAAGCCACAAAAGATATTTTAATGTCTGCTGTGTATTACCAACTTTTAGTGTTTGCTATTTTTTCTACTTTTTTTGCAATTTGTGCTTTTTTCGTTAAGACTGTGGTGGTTTTCAAATGGCATGGTTGACGATATCTCCAAGTGGTACTGTAAGTCAGCCAGTCAGTCATAGTGCTGGCGTATAACAAATAAAATTATATTGTTATTGCCAACCATTTAGTTTTGCAAAACTAATCTAAAGTATTTTTTGTTAGTTTTTCTTACTTTTATGACTTTAATTTAAGATCATTAGGGTAGATATTTTAATGAAGCATTGAAAAGTAATGTCAATAACATTTTAGCCCAAAAGTAATTAATTGGAAACTAAATTGGAGTATTTTCAGTCTAAATTTAAGGGCCTTTCATAATTCTTCTTAATTCCAATAAGCAATATATATGGTAGTAAACAGTCTAGTCTAGACCGTAGCATATGGTATAGTCTCAAGTATAGATACTATTCTAGTATAAGATCTGGTGTTTAGGATAAAGCCTAGACTAAAGAATATTCTTTATTCTCTAGTATAGAACCTAGTCTATTCTCTGGTGAAGAGAATCTACTCTAGTCTCAACTATAGTGACAACTCGAGTGTTTCCACAAAAATTGATCGAGTCTTTATTCTACAGACTGATCGAGTCTCTATACTACAGGCTAATCATATACTTAAGACGGACCGAGTCTTTATACTAGAGACTGATCTAGTCTCTATTTTATCTACTTAATATTGATTGATCTATAGTCTCTATACTAGAAAAAGACTAGACCATAGTAGTCTCTATGTTAGAGTCTAAATTAGTCTCAATACTGGAGGCTACATTAGTCTCTGCACTACAGACAAGAGTACACTCTATTCTAGAGACTACTGTGTTCCCTTTATACTAGAGTTAGAGTAGTATATACTAGAGCTTAGTGTTTTTTTTTTCTATACCAGATACTAGAGATTAGAGTAGTACCTATACTAGAGATTAGAGTAGTGTCTGTACTAGAGACTAGAGTAGTCTCTATATTAGAGACTAGAGTAGTCTCTATACTAGAGACTAGAGTAGTCTCTATACTAGAGACTAGAGTAGTCTCCATACTGGAGACTAGAGTAGTCTATACAAGAGACTATAGTAGTCTCTATGCTAGAGACTAGAGTAGTCTCTATACAAGAGACTATAGTAGTCTCTATACTAGAAACTAGAGTAGTCTCTATACTAGATATTAGAGTAGTCTCTATACTAGAGACTAGAGTAGTCTCTATACTAGAGTAGTCTCTTTACTAGAGACTAGAGTAGTCTATATACTAGAGACTAGAGAAGTCTCTATACTAGAGACTAGAATAGTCTCTATACTAGCGACTAGAGTAGTCTATATACTAGAGACTAAAGAAGTCTCTATACTAGAGACTAGAGTAATCTCTATACTAGAGACTATAGTAGTCTCTATACTAGAGACTAGAGTAGTCTCTATACTAGAGACTATAGTAGTCTCTATACTAGAGACTAGTGTAGTGTCTATACTACAGACTAGAGTAGTCCATATACTAGAGACTAGAGTAGTCTCTATACTAGAGACTAGAGTAGTCTCTATACTAGAGACTAGAGTGGTCTCTATACTAGAGACTAGAGTAGTCTCTATACTAGAGACTAGAGTAGTCTCTATACTACAGACTAGAGTAGTCTCTATACTAGAGACTAGAGTAGTCTCTATACTAGAGACTAGAGTAGTCTCTATAATAGAGACTAGAATAGTCTCTATACTAGAGACTAGAGTAGTCTATATACTAGAGACTAGAGTAGTCTATATACTAGAGACTAGAGTAGTCTTTATACTAGAGACTAGAGTGGACTCTATACTAGAGACTAGAGTAGTCTCTATACTAGAGACTAGAGTGGTCTCTATACTAGAGGCTAGAGTGG